GTAGAGAAACTCACACCACTCAGCAGCCCTCCCATTCCTGACAGAGGAAAGGGGCTTCAAAACAATTTCAGGCAAGTTCCAATGAGATAGAAACCAGTTATCCCCAGGAGATCTGTAGAACAAAAAACAAACTATAACAAACCCTGCAATTTCAAGGGAACCAACATAAAATCACAAATATAATCGAAATTTTCCCATATATTATTTTTTTGTCCCCAAGTTGCCCCTACCATCAAAGATAATAGATGGAAACTTGGGGAAGATACATGGGTTAATATACAAAATGAAACGACATAAAACACATAAGTATCTAACTAATAAACATACTAAAATAGAAATAAAACAAGCTAAAACAATCACCAAGACCAATCAAAATATGATAATCGTCTCCACGAGTTCCCAGTCTCTACCACGTATAAAACATAGAGTTCAATAAGTATCTCGCACCTCATAGCCGTGACGTCCATAGTCACTCACCAAAGCCATGATGGAGGAAAAAATCAACTCCATGAAAGATCTTGATGGAGTCACATGAAGCTCACATAGTCATTTACCATAATTAACGATTTTAGGGACTATAGTGAAAACCAATAGCCACAGCAACGACAGTCACAGTCGAAACTAATCCCATTATGAGAACAAACACCATATCCCCCAATCCCTTCCTTGGCTGATCACAAAGCCTCAATCCCCACGGTAGTGTCTTCCTCAGGCCATGTCGAGAGTGGCTTAAAGACCAATATCAAGATGGGTCACATGAAGACAAGAGGCAACCAAAACAATCTGGTAGATTTCACATCTCCCAGTCTCTAACTCGGCTGGACATCAAACCACAATTCCCCATAGCAATTTTCCTTTGCGCTTGCTACACCAATCTTTGATTTGATGTCCCTTTTTGTCACAAATATAGCATTTGCTAGTGAATTTGAACTTCTTAGTATCCCCTCCTTTAGAGCCTTGTGAGGAATTTTCTCCTGAAAACTTGTGTTTCTTATTTTTAAATGCTTGTTTTACCACATTTGCCTTTGACTCCATAGGATGTTTTCCAACCTACTTCCCAGAAGTTTAATTGTCTTTCTCAATCCTCAAATGCACAATCAATTCCTTCAAAGTCATTTCTTTGCGCTTGTGCTTAAAATAGTTCTTAAATTCCTTTAAGCTTTGTGGTAATTTTTCAATTATGGTAGCAAGTTGAAAGGATTCACTTAGCGATATGCCTTCTGCATGAATGTCATGCAAAATAAGTTGGAGATCCTGAACTTGACTGATCATAGTCTTTGAATCGATCATCACACAATTCAAAAATTTGCCAACTACAAATTTGTTCGATCCAACATCTTCTGTTTTGTACTTTTTCTCCAATAACTCCCAAAGTTCCATTGTCATCTTGATTGGGCTATAGACGTTGTACAATGTATTATCAAACCCATTTAAGATATAGTTTTGGCAAAGAAAATCAACCAGTGTGTTTGGTTTGAGTTTTTTGGATTAAGTTTTTTGAAAAATGAGTTTTTTGATTTTTGTATTTTTTTTGTTTTTAGTGAATATGTTTAAAATTTTAAACATTTTTTTACTTTTTTAGATGCAACTTACTTAGATGTATTTAAAAAGTAAAAAATTTGTGAAAAAAACCTTTTAAAAATTCACTAAATACCAAAAATACAAAAAAAATATGAGAATTCAGTACATTTTTTTTATATTTTTATGTATTTATTAATTTTTTAAAATATTTTTTCACAAATTTTTTACTTTTTAAATACATCTAAGTAAGTTGCATCTAAAAAAGTAAAATAAAAAGTAAAAAAAAAAAAAAAAAATTGCTTAAAATATTAAAAAAATTTAGTAAAATCAAAAAAATAAGAAAGTAGAATTTTCTAGAAAGTGTTTTTAGAAAAATATAACCAAGCAAATTCCAAGTATTGACCGCAACAACCACTTGTCGGTCGGTTTTGTCCTCTTTCAAAGTAGGAGCATTTTCACAGAGGAAACGAGTTAGATTGAGGGTAATAAGATAAAACAACATTTTCTGCTGCCGTCTTTTAAATTCAATTCCTATGAACTTTTTTGGCTTTTTCCTATGATTCACTGGTATTGTCACAACAACATGAGGGGTTGAGGCGATTGCAATTGCAGTACCCGTAACATCGGTGTGAACATTGATTTGAGTAGTTTGATCGATTTCAGTAGCCATGAATTCTAAATTATAAAACAAAATTACAATCAGAATTTAATGCTACACAAAAAATTAAAATCATAAACCACTTAATATAAATTCAGTACAAAAATAAAAGAAACAAATTGTAACTTTTATTTGCGCAAATTAATTTGAAAACAACATATTATTTATTTAAACAAATTAATTCCACATAGAATTTTATTTCTATAAAAACACATAATATAATTCCTGTAAAACTGAAAACTTAAAAATTATAATGCTAAAAAATCATAATTTAATTATTGAAAACTAGAATTTTAATTATGAATTTATATATGGAAAAACCCACTCCGTAACAAGAAAAAGATTTGAAAAGGAAACAAATAAATTTTTTTGTATAGAACAAAATAATTCCAATGTTTAAAAATTGTTGGAACAATCTTCTGTGTAATGTAAAAAAAAAAATCAAATAGAAAAAATAAAATGCTTACATGATTTTATTTTACTGAGATAGAAAATTCAAATGATGATTAAGTCGAGTGTGTGACACTCTGCTCTTAATGCATTCGCCATCAGACAAGTGCTTACTGAATGATGGCACCTATCTCCTAGGATACAATTGTGACGCCCCAAAATCTAGCTAAGGTTGCAGTCAAGGGAACATCACCAGTGAGACCTTTGGTCAATAATCAAGTAAGATCCTAGGAAGGACGGAGGAGTCAATATAGCCTCCTTTCAAAGTTCAACCACGTTAGATTGCAAAGCAACCTTTTTAACAGATCTTAAGTAGATATTAACACAAGATCGACAGAAGTGACGTGGGAAAGGGTGCAGGCTCACAAAATATATATTTATAGTAGAGTAGAGCAATAATAATTACAAAGTTTTAATATAGTTACAAAACAGGATCCACTAACAATACATTTCAAAAGAGTGAAATAATACAGAGGAAAACAACCCTAACGTTGTCTAGGACAACCAATAGTCCTCAAATGTCTCTGGTTTTTCGTTGTCCTGATGGGTTTTTTCGATACCTGACATGAAACGCCATGAGCTTGGAATCCAAGACTTGTATCATTTGATGATGCCATGTAAATCGCTAGAAATATGTGAAGTGTATGGCTAACCTAATAACAAAAGTTTCATAAGGCTACTTTAGCAAGCTACCATGAGACAAAAGATCTTTCTAAAAAGACTCGATTCGAAACTATTATATGTCCAAGGTCCAATATTGAAATAATTTCAGAGGTTTTCCCTGACTTTATCCGTGTCAACAAAGAATTCAAAATACCTTAACTTTTTTAGAACAGGTCTGAGTCAAAATAGCAATGATTCGAAGCACTTCTTTTATATTATTTTAGAAATCCAAGGGCTTAATTGTATGGATATGTAAAATACAGGATTTTCAATCCTAGCAAAAATAGGAGGGAAAGGGATACTCAATTTAAAGTGAGTAAATAGAATTCCATACTCGATCTCATAGAGACATATAGACTTCCGTCGAAAGCCGTATTCGATGAAAGTCGTATGTATGACTTGGAAGGGAGATATCCACCCTACAATGTGGGCTTAAAAAAAGCCAAAATAAGTGATTTTAGCCCTTCTAAAAAATAAAAAAGAAACAGATTCTTGAACCTCTTTCATGCTCATGTCACATTGAGGTACTGCAAAAGAAAAAATTACAAAATTTGATCCAATTTATTGCAATTGATTAGTTAATATGTTGGTCAACCATAAATTGAAATATGAAAAAAAAAAAAAAAAAATTGTCTTATCAAATTATCTATCGAGCCATGAAAAAGATTCAACAAAAGACAAAAATAAATCCACTATCTATTTTACGTCAAGCAATACGTGGAGTAACTCCTGATATAGCAGTAAAAGCAAGACGTGTAGGTGGATCGACTCATCAAGTTCTCATTGAAATAGGATCCACACAAGGAAAAACACTTGTCATTAGTTGGTTATTAACAGCATCCCAAAAACATTCGGGTCAAAATATAGCTTTCAAATTAAGTTCCGAATTAGTGGATGCTGCCAAAGGGAGTGGTGAGGCCAAATGAAAAAAGGAAGAGACTCAGAGAATGGCCGAGGCAAATAGAGCTTTTGCAAATTTTCATTAATCTATAAACATGATCTATATATAGACACATAGATCCATGGATATACATCTTGATTGGAAAAAAATCAAGAGAAAAGAAAGAAGAATTGATTGATATATTTCTTGAAACAAACAAAAGGAAACAAAAGATGAAAGAAAAATCATGGATCGTCTAAGACCTCTTAGGGACTTGCTTAAGAATAAGAAAGACGAACCTCACGTAAATACCATGGAATAAGGTTTCATTATATTCATGGAGATTCCATAAATATTCCATTCCAAAAATAGAAAGTTCGAAATAATAAGGAGGCCTATAGAAACTATCTACCTGAGACTGTCCCTTGACCCATAGGCCTTGAGTCAAGGTTACAATTCTAGCTCTTCCATAGTGGTATCTCACTAATGGCTTGGTCCCTTCCGATAGAAAGAAGTGATTTTAGCAACTATAACCTTTTGTATTCTTGCACAATGAGTTTGCCCTCATACATGACCCACATTCTCACACTTGGAAACTTGAGGTTTTACCATTTCTTCTAAATTGTTCACATCCATAGCACCGTAGACTTGTCTAGTCTCTCTGTGTTGCAGATCAAAATGTTTACTGAAGCATATCTATAGTTTATGTTTCAAATGGATCATCAAATTTTATTGTGGTGAACAATGTGAAATGGCGTTTTCATGTAAAACCCACATCCTCCAGACCATTTTGTAATTTAATCTAACCAACATAAGTACTCAGGCTAATGATGCATTATCAAATGCTAAGATTAATATTCATAATAATGATTTCATACTACACATAAGAAACAACAGGTCCGAGAATATTTAATTCAATCAATGAATTAAATGAAATTACATTGCATTTTACAAATCAGTGCACGAATAAGTACCTTTATTTATACATACCCAAACAAGAACAAGTCAGATTACACAAGCACAGTCAGCCGTATCGCATATCAAAACAACATTTTCTTGGTTGATTTGGCTTGCCAACTTTGGTTGGAGCTTCTTATATTCATTCCTAACAAATGATGCAGCTTCAATTGCACAATTAGCATCTACAAAGGCAATACAACACCCTCGAAATCCAGCACCACTAAATCGTGCGCCATATACACCAGGAGCCCTTAGAAGGATCTCATACAATTGTATCAATGGTTCACAACCTGAACAATTCATATATTTTAACAAAATTTATCAGCAGAAGCACAAATCTTGCATAAACCACGTTTAGACTAGTATGACCACAATTTCAATCTGAAAACAAACTAGTTGAGACTTTGAAATGGCTCAATCAAGAAACTACAATAAATTCTAATTTGGAATCATCAACTATTTGAATTATTGGTTTCTTTTCATTCATTGGAACCAAAAAGTTGACATAATCGCATGAGATGTTTTGAAGAAAGAAAAAGGAACTTTGAAAGGAGACATTCTAATAGTCTCTGAAGCCATTGTTAGAAGTTGAAATCCAATTATAACATGGTTAATAAGAAGAATGAATGCCTTGATGCAGTCACAAAGTAAATAGAAATGTCATACTTCTAACAATAAATGTTGGTTAGATGACAATACATTGTTAGAAAGATTTTTGAAATAGTACATTATATATATAGTATGTTTTAGGATTTTTCAAAAAGTTTGACTTGTTTATGGAAAGCTTTAATTGTCTTATTTTATGTGTCACATATAGGAAATTTAAAAGAAATGGGAAAACTTAATAAATGCCCACCAAATCACTAGCTTAGAAAAAACAAGCGAGTGCCACTAGGCTTTAGTGCTTGATTTGGTGCACAAACCTTCCACGCGTGCGTGGCATGGGCAGTGGCGCATTGTACAATACTTGGATACATGTGTGTGTGGTGTGTGATCAAGAAAATTAATTTTTATCAATCATGATTATCAACAATCGGACAATTATTATGATAGTTAAACATGTTCATATGGTGGAAATCACACTTGATTGTAAAGATGTGATGAATGGCTTGATCATATGTTGCAGCTGTGCAATCTACATTGTTAAATATTAAAATGTGAGATCAGATGGTTTGAATTCAAAATCTGAGTTAACTATTAGCACAACAGTCAAATTACAATTAATGTGACTTAGATTTAAAATCAACAAACACACATTTCTGAACAAGGAGCTTTCCAACTATAAAAATGGCAAATTCACAACCATTTTACAACTCTCTCATTCTAAGGCATTCAAAGCTTTCTTATTTCTGTTTTCATTTCTGGACTATATTTTCTGCAGTAATATACTTCCAGTTTCTTGGCTAACTAGAACAATTAGAGACCATTCAGGCTTGATTTCATTTGTGCAAACAAAGTCAAGCAAAAGCCTAAATCTGGACTTGATTTATCCTGGAAGCAATTCATTGACAACTCAATGCACACCATTTGGTGGGGGCATACCCTAAACATGCATACCTTAATTATGATGTATTTGATGAATCCTGCATATCCTAAGGCAGTGTTTGGATCATGTATTTGGGTAGGGCTTTGGAAAGGAAAAAGGGAAAAGGGAAAAAGTGGGTGACATGTAACTCTATTTCCTTCACATTTCACTCACCTTTTCCTTTCCTTTTCCAAATCTCTACCCAAATCCAAATCCATGATGCAAACATAGCCTAAATTTGAAGTTTAACTTCCCAATCTAGGAAAATGCATTTTAGGTTCTTAATGTTTAGATTGTGAAATTTGAAGTGTTAGAAACGTGAAAATATTATGTTGATTACTTAGTTATTTTGATGAAATTTCATAAATAGAGTATGTTTTAATTAAAGTAATTTGAGTTAGTTTATATCATGCTCACTAAGTGTTTGTAAAGATGCTCCACTTCTTCTCAAAATCCTACGGTTATAGTTTGGGATTTTTTAAAATAAAGCATTTGGGATATTTTAAAATAAAGCATACATGAATTTTCCGTGTGACACTTATGTAGTATGTTTTGCACAGTGTACTTAATTTTTTGAAGGTTTGATATTGTTATGGTTAATTTTGAATACTTGATTTGAAACTTTGGCTTTGGTTGTTGTGTCCATGAGTATAATGGGCTTGATTAGCCCTATCATTGGAGACATACTGTAATACCCCAAATAATGCCATGTGCCATAACTAGATCCATATCCATCTTTGAATACAATGAGCCCTATTAGCTATCTCATTACGGAAAATACTTAAAGTAAAGCTTATAAATCAATAGTTAGGAAGCCTTGAGCATGTGCAAATTCTTTGTTAACGATCAACAGTTGGGAAGTAGTCTTTTCTAGAACTTAGAAAACCGATGTGTGTAACACGGAGACCACATTGTAGGATAAAATTAGAATGCTGCTATTAGCACCCCATCAATTATTTTGGATCCCCATTTTTTAGCTTTTTCTTTTATTACAATAATAACCTTAAATGAAATTACTAAAAAAGACATCAATAATTTTGGGACACCCTATCTCACAATTAAGCCCACACACCAACTACATCATGAGTTAGGGCTTATGACAGCACCCACCTCCATCACCACCCATCCATCTTCCCCAAATCCCACTTTCAAAACCTATCCACCCTCAAAACCTTAAAAATCCTTTGGCAGCAATATTCCAGGCAACCATTTGATTACCTACACTTCTCCAGCAATAACAATGAGTAGAAGTTTTTCCAGCAACCACAACTCCATAAGACGAGAGGAGTACAACAATAAAAGCTCAAAGGAGGTTCATAGCTTGATAGTGTTCTTAGCTAAGAGGAGATTGGCCTTATAAGGGTAAGTTTCTTGAAAAAAATAGCAAAAATAATAAAAAACTGTTCGTCATTTTTTCAGGACTGAACTCCCGAACATATGACCGAAATTCGGAACACAAGCCCGAACATTGTTTATTTGTTTGGGAATAGGTAACTGAACATTTATTTTTTCAGGTCATGAACAAGTATGTGGAGATAAAGTAGTAATCACCTTTGTGGGTTTTGTTAGGGTTTTTAGGAGAGAGTCTTTTTGGGGTGTGTGGATGTCCATTCAACTAAATGGGTGGAATGTTTTCACAAGGATAATTTTGGTATTATTTGGGGGGAGAAGAAATTTTAAGGGTTTTAGAATTTATAAGTGGGAATTCAAAGAAATGGGGGGACCAAAATAATTGGAGTGTTAATAACAACACTCTAAAATTATATCCCATCCTTGTTTAATTGCCTTGCACTCTAGTAGAAGTCAAAACATGAATCGCTTAGATACCAACTTAGAAATATAAACTATAGTTAGAGAATTTTGAAAGAACAAATCCCTTAGATTGTGTTGATAATTAGAGCATAAGCTTCTTTTGAGCCTTAAAAAGCAGTAGTTACCACACCGGAAACATTCTTGCTTGGCATGAACCAACACTTGACCTTAATTACCTTACATGACAATAGAGATAGAAATGTGGATTAATATGATGACAACTTAGACGATGAATGCAATTGGTAGGGAATTTAGAAGGAATACATGGGTTAAAACTAGAAGATTTAAAAGTTTGAGCACACGGGTGAGGAACTTTAAGTGAAGAAATTTTTAATGAATACTTAAGAGTTAAGGGATGACTTTGAACTAAACATTTGAATACTTAGAATTTTTAAAAAACCTTAATGAAGAAGCATAATAACCTAGGTCTAATAAAGAGCTTTCCTAATTATTGTGCTAAAACTTAATCGGGATTAGCGGTAATTAAGTGTGATTAATTGGACCTAATCAAGATTAATTAAGTTACTGATAATTAGAGATTAACCTTGCTTAATTAGAACTAAACTTGATTAACTAAGCTAATGAGGGGGATTAGGAAATGGTGAAGCACACACCTCTCCCTAAGTTTGGACACCTCCTACTTGGAGGATAGATATGCACCAAAGGGAGACAAGTGCCTCTCTCTCCCTAATATAATAATAATAATAAAAGAGCTAGAGCAAGGCAAAATCTTAAAAAAATTGTAGGAGAAATGAGACAGAAGAGGACGAAGAAGAAGAAGGATAGCTTCAATCTTAGCCCAAAACTTAAGCAAAAATCATCAGAAGGTATGAAATTCCACCCTCTGTCACATGATATATGAATTAGCCAACAAGAAAATAATTTAGGATAGGTTCTTGATAGAATAAAGAAATGAAATGGAAAATAGATGAAAAGAAATTAGGTACAGGAAGAATTTGTGGGAATTCAATCATTGACATGAATAAATCAAAGGATTTTGTGCAAAATCTTGAAACTAGGTATCCTAAATCATTTTTAAATGTTTTGAATTGAAGGAAATAGGAAGAAATGAAAGGAAATTAATAGGAAAGAATTTGGCTTGAAATGATTAAGAGAAAAGTGAGCAGCCGCCACTAAGTTAACCATATCTCCTTGTACAGTTGGAATTTGGATATGAGATCACCACCATTAGAAACTAGACTTTTGGGGCTTGAATTTAGACTCAAGGATTGCCCAAAATCAAGTCTGGATGAGGGACATATGCCCATTTAAGGTTGGATCGAAAAACTAAATGCAAACCTCCTCGTGCTCTTTTGAAAAGTTGTACTCCTTGTAAAAGAATTAAATAATATAATCAAGAATATGTATGTTTCATTTCATATAGTTATACACTCCTCTCAATAGATGTTTCAAATGGACTTAATGGACTCAATTAAAGAAATTAATGGCTTCCGCAACTCAAAATACAAAATTTGCCCCAACTATCACAAGAGTCCGACTTGTTTTTTTAATTAGGCCTTTAGTAGTCTATGACAACTGGGCGGTTACTACACTATCTTGTTTGGGGTGGGATGGGGTTGTGATACCTACAATCACACTGGAGGGTATTATCCCTTGGGTTAGTATCTATAAAAACATGGCCAATGTGATTGTGATACCTACAATCACACTTTTAGTAGACAATCAATTTCTTGTGCTCATGAAATAAAATATGGATTACTTTACATTGGTTTTGAAAGTGTTTTGATGGTGGTACTTGGGGTTATAAATATGCATGTACCATGATATTAGTACAATCATCATGCATATTACCTTTGTTAGCCATTTCTTCTTTTGAGTTTTGGCTCGCGTTGAATATTTTTAGGTGTTGAGGTGAACCCCGGTGCATGAGAGATGCCGAGCTTATGGGTGTTTTGTGTTTCTTGGCCTAAGGGTCTTTGAAGCAATGTATGGCCATAAGGTCATTGGTATAATCTTTGTTTTGGTAGTGTTGATATCACTTATGACCTTAATTTTGAAAAGTGTTGTTAAACTTCACATAAGAGAGAGACTTATCTACTTGATGCATAGTTTGGAAACATGTATGTTTGACTCTTATTTACTATGTTCTAAGATTATGTTTCAAAGGAATAGAAGAATTCCTCATGTTTTAAAAGATTGGAATTATGATAGGAATTGAGACCTTGATGTAATATATCAATAATTAGCCGCCAATTCATGGGAATGAGCTATGAAGCCAATTTCTCTAAATGAGGTCTAAGGTCGGGGGCACGGACAGGCTGAAAATAACAATAACAAAGCTTTTTGAAAGAGAAGAATGAGCAATAGATTTCTTCACGCTTCGCTTTGGAAAGGGGCATTGAATGAAGACAGACATAGTGGAATGCTCCTATACTATAGAAGGTTCCCTCATAAGTCTGAATGGCTTGAAGCCTCATGTGATGTGTGTTGATTTTCTTGAAGTTGAATGATGTCTTGTTTAGATTGGACCTACTTAAACTCAATTTTCTAGAACTTCCAGTTTCTCCTCTAGTAAACAATCTATTTTGAGAGACTATATCTAAACTTTACCTCGTAAATAATTTCTGAAAATTTTACAGGAGATAGGCCTATGTGTTACCTTTCTTTTGACATAAATGGGAACTTGTTTAGACTTAAATTGAGGTGATTATGCCCTGTTCAGATTCGACCATGCTGCATTGTTTTGATCAGATTTGGATTTATACACTGTATTTGCAGTAGATTCCAGTGGGGTTTGAAAGTTGAGCACTTTTAGATAAATTGAATTTCAAAGTCACCATAACATTGCAGAATTTTTCGTGAGTTCAACTAATGAATATTGTTTAAAACATAATTCAGTCCATGCATATTTCCTTCCGTTGAACCAGTGAAATTTGAAAATAGATTATGGTGGTACACCCTCATAATATTTCTTGATCTTGGAGGATATGGGTTATGGACTGGGAGCTTGTTATGTTAACCTTGTTTGCATTTTAACTCATTTCCCATCTCATATACTTCATTCTTCCACCTTTTTCCTAAATCTCTTCTATCAATGTCCTCCTTTGGATCACGAGGAGTGACAGAAACTCTACACCATTCTTTTGAGTTAATTTTCCCTAAACTATTGGAGTGCCCTCTTTGGACTAGAGCACACCATTGGGCATCTCATCAATGTTCGCTGTCAATCTCCTGCTGGTTTGTCCCAATCATCTCCAGTCCAACTCACATGGCCTCCCTCAGACATGAACCATCACCTTTGAATCAAAGAATCATACTGTAAACAAAATAAAAAAAAATAACAAAACATCCACCAAAAAAATGAATGTAAGAGATTGAAAGAGAAGATCATGGCATACCACATTCATAATTTTGGATGGAACTAAGACCAGAAGCTGAGATGAGCTTCCCAAAATCTTCTAAGTTGCCAGAAGCCCATGCTTCAAGTCCTAAAGTTATCAGCGCATTGTTATATCAACTACATAGAGGTGAGATCATGAAAGGCAACATGATGAGAATACATTGAATAAGTAATACCTTTGATAACCCGCATATTTTCTGAGAAATAATGCTCTGCTCTTCTAGCTAAAGAGGGTTCTAATTTGCACTGCAGAAATATAAATCTAATTAATTAGTAAAACTAATTTTGAACTACAACAAGCTGTTAATAAAACAGCAAGCAGATTTTTCCATGAAAGGCTACGAAATATGTACCTAATAACAGATAGAGGAGATTGTTAATGTGGTGTAGGCAAAACATCATGATACAAATTACTAACATAAACATCGAAGTACCTTAGCAACATGCTCGTGTAGTTATGTCATTTTAAGACATAATCAGAGGATGTATGAACTTTGGATAAAAGGATATTACAGTGTAAGTGGATTTCTGTGGGTGCTGGAAGGAGTGGACTAGGTGCAGATTTAACCTCAAGGCTGAAGCTTTGATAGCAAAAAATGTTTACTGTCAAACTTGACCCTCCATTCTCATGGTTGATAGTTCATGAGTGGAGAATTAGAACCCAAAGCTAAACAGTTACAACAAACAATGGTTCCTCTCTACAATCATTTGACGTCCCATGGAAAATGAATCAGTACACCAATTTATTTCTGTGAGTCATTTTGCATGAAATGTGTAAACGAAAGCCAAAGGTGCACCTTGGGTAAACACCCCATAGACAAGGCATACACCTTTAGAAAATGAATCAGTACACCCACTCATTTCTGTAAGTTGTTTTTTTATTCTCCAAAGAAATATATCCATTGCAAGAAATGTGTAAACAAAAGCAAAAGTCGCACCTTGGGTGAACGCCCCAGAGACAACGATAAATAAACATAATTACTGAATATATACATGATACATGGATAAATGTAGATTTCACATATCCAAGTGGAACATTTAACAAACATGGGGAGACAGGCATTCTTTGAACACTAAAGTCATGAAGGTAATACCTTGTGAGTTTCATATGTTCTTGGTTCAACTGTAGACAATAATAACAAATACATACATAAATAAAGGTACCTGGAATCTTTATAGAAGTGAATATTTATGTAATTCAAGCTTGCAAATAAGGTCAAAAAACTGACCATTGGACAGGAGAGGCTCCATCCCTTCATTCCCAGAAGATCTGCAGAACATGCAAAAAAGAGAAATAAAGCCTGCAAACATTTGCTGAAACAACATCCAAATAATTCCACCATAACATGGACAGCTGCAAACCCACCAAAAACCAAACAAAAACAAAAACAAAAGCAAAAACAAAAATTCTGTTTTATCTCAAAGTCACATTTAATTAAGTTTTGACCTAAACCCATATCTCGGGTTATTTGAGACATTGAAGAACATGAACTTAGGTATTGTTTAAGAGTAATGGTGAGTTGGGTTGAACCGAGTTACTGCGCTTTGGCTTGGGGTTACATGCTTTATTATTACTTTTAGCATTTTGGGAGTTAGTAGTGATGCGCAGTTTTCATACTTTGTTCAGGGTACTAGTTGGACTTTCGTATTTAAAGAATTATATTGTTCCATCTTTAGCTGAGTAGTTGCATGCTACATATTTTTATAAATGTTCCATTACCTTGAACTATTGGAAAATTAAATTGTTGTTTTAGAACTAAAACTGTTTTGATAAAATTATTATATTATCAATGGAATTAAATTATTTCTAAAACATGTGTAAACTTGGCATATAGTAAAATGTTTGAAATGATCTCATGTTTGTAATAGTCAAGCTGAATTGTGTTGTTATTGAGACCATATTTATGTAAAAATCGAGGGAATTTATTCCATTGTGTGTGGCGACTCTGGCCATTGAGGAACAAATCCGAGTTAGGCTGCAATGACTCTAGTGCTCAATGATTGTAAGAAACAAATCTGGACTAGGCTGGATGACCTTCAATTGGATTGTCTTAGAGAAAAGGCCTGGGTTGCCACCTTGAGGATGACTTTTGGTTCGATATTGGATTCAACAGGATTATTGCCTCGAAAACTTTGTGGCATGTTACTTGTTAATCATGGTACCCAAATTATAATGATGATCATGTTGTTATTTGTTTTAAGTGAAGAATCTCATTTGTGGTGTTCTTGAGGGACGTTGATATTTTTATTTAAATTGTGGAACCTTGTTCTTGAATCAGATTGTCTTTATCAAAACTGTATGCCAATCTAATTTATGTTATACATCTTATTTTGGAATGGAACCCTGTTTTTTGATCTGTATTTACTATCCATGTAACTCATTGAGCTATTAGCTAACTTAGTTGTTTACTCATCCCGTCCCAAAATATTAGTCACTTAGTCCATTTTTCATTGTCCCAAAATATTAGTCCATTTACAAAAATCAAGGACTAAAATAATATGAATTTCCTATTTTTCCCTTCTTTTAAATTCATTAACACAAAAAGTACAATTATGACAATTGAAATTGCCCAAAAAATGTACTATCAAAGGGTAATTTTGGAAAATCAATTTTTTTATAGTGCAATAATTGTACTACCAAAAAAAGTTAGATTCCCCAAAAGGAACTATTATTTTGGGACAAAGGGAGTAACATTTTCAAGTGAGAGAAAGACTTCATGGCTTGGCAGAGACTTTATTTTATGGACCTCCAGGACATTCATTTATTATTTTTAAATTATTATGACAATTTTGTGCATACTTTTTAGTTGAGATTCATTTAGGATTATTTTGTTACGTGGTTTGTTTGCGTCCCACTGGTTATATGGATGGTACTGATTAGGGTTGGTTTTGGCCGTTTATACTTGTGACATGTCACTAGATTGAGTTTTGATTTATTTATTATTGGATTATTGTTACATTTATTCTATGTGATTATGGATTCGTGTCTAGGCTTACGTGTGCCTTGGGTTAACGCCTTGTGGGCCATGGCTGGTCATGCCTGGATTTGAGGTGTGATGGATTGGACTTTGAAGACAGGCAATACTGACTTCTCCAATATTTCCTGGGATCTTACTCGGTTATTGGCCAAAAGACTCATGAGTGATGTTACCTAGACTTCATCTCTTAGGGCAGGATTTGGGGTGTCACACAGGATCCAAATAGTTTTAACTCTAATCTCAAACGGCTCTCCATATCCTAGATTTATCTTGATGTTCTTGGGTTCTCATTATTTTTCAAGCACATCAACACATATTCTACCAAAAGTTAGTCTAATTCTTCATAAGGTAGGATCATTCAAGAACGTAGGATTAGCAATGGTACAATCAATATAACCTAAACCATCTTCAGCCCAAAGCTCCAAGGGAACATTGTAAAACTTTAACCATAGAGGCACACTAGTAAATTTATTTATTTTTATATCAACAACAAAAAAGAAATGATTAAAGAATGTGCTGAGGGGCATAACCCGCATAAAACCAAAAGAAAAAGGCAATCATAGAAAACGCAAGCTCGTAAGGGATCAATAAGGGATCAGAACGCTCCTGTTGTTCGAACTAGTTTTTAATAGTCGTCTTAATTAGTGCCCTTTTGGTAAGCTTTGCGACCACTTTCATTTTTAGCATCTCATCTTATATAGGGAAGCGAAACTTGAACGGATGGAGCAAATGATCCAACTACATAACTTTTTCGTTTTCATTACTTCCATGGTGGTGCCTCATGGCACGGCAGCACCTGCACTATTGAAATGGTTCGTCAATGGAGATGAGGTACTCGAATTAGATCAATGATCGATTTCTAGGTTTCGTCGTAAACCTAATTGGTTACTTCTGATTACGTAAATCAATAGTTCAAACCGCACTCAAAGGTAGGGCATTTCCCATTTTTATAGGAACTTCTGTACTAGAAACAATGGTATCTCCAATTATAGCCCCTCTGGAATGTAAAATATATCACTTCTCCATAATGGTTAATTGTATACTTAAGCCTTTAAGGTCCCATTTGGGAATAGGCTATTTTAGCCGAAAAGTCAAAAGACCACTACAAGTTGTCACATCACTCTCTCTACTTTTTTGCACACCTTTTCGTAGAAGGTTAAAAAGCTGACTAAAATAGACAATTTCAAAACCATCCCTAAGTTCCTTACCTTTCTAGAATACTTTTTCCCCTTCCATTTTTTGTGAGACTTCAGTTAGTAGAATTGTGTACAAAATTGGCTTACCCTAATGTGGGTGAGACCATGTCTATTTATAATGAATATAAGATAAATAGAAACAGAAAAAGGAAATAAGTAATTACATAATCAAATCTCTAAAATTCAAGGGATCTCCGAAATATAGTCTATTCTATATTCGAACACTCCCGCTTAAGCTGGATCAAAGATATCTACCAAACCTAACTTGCCAATGGAAGACTAAAGTAGAGATGGTCCTACAAATTTGGTGAAGACATTAGCAGTCTGATCAAAAGACGGAACGAAGGAGGGACAAACAAAGCCTGCCCTAACTTTTTCCCTGAAGAAATCAATGTCAACCTCAATATGCTTGGTGCGCTCATGAAGGGCAGCGTCAGAGGCAAGTAATATGGCAAACCTATTGTCACAAAACAACTTGGAGAGAATACTTCCCTTAAAACCTAACTCAATAAGAATGGATAGTAACTCACACGTCCAGTACTCAGCGTCAGCAGAAGACCGAGAAACAATATCTTGTTTCTTGCTTTTCCATGACAGAAGATGAGTACCATAGAAAGTACATACCCCAGAGGTAGAGCATATGTCAATCAATGACCCTGTACAGTCTACATCCATAAAGCAGGATAGTCCTGTCAGAATCCCATTAGTGAAGAATAACCCAAACCAAGACAAAACTTGAGATATCTCAAGATGTGAATAACAACATACCTATATCTTGAAGAAATATACTCAAGAAAACGAGCTACTTTAATCCCCAAAAAATATTTGAGAGGACCCAAGTCCTCGATGTCAAAGGCTCGACTAAACTCCTGTTTTATCTGAGTAATGCATGAGGCATAATCCCCTGTAAGAATGATATCATCCACATAGACCAACAAAATGACACAGCAACCATTGGCCTTACCACGAATGAAGTATGTGTGGTCAGAGTGACACTGAACAAAATCCATGGATAAAATAACAGAGTTGAACTGGCTGAATGAAGCACGAGGAGACTGCCTCAAGCCATATAGAGATTTACGTAGACGACATACCTTCCCAACAAACTCCCACAACCTTCGTGCCTCGTGGAAGGAGTCAGATCACTATCAAACACTAGAGATGGATAGTGCAACAGATGCCTTGAAATTGTAGCAGTTGATTGAGAAAGAACGAATTATTGAGTTTTTTTGTTAAGTCAATATCCAAATCTTGGGTAGAGACACTTTCATCTCTTCATGAGGTTTTTGCCTATGTTCACCATGAGGAAATCAAACGTAAGGTTATGTTACACCCACCTGCCCCGACTAGTTCACCTCTCCTTTCTACTCTTCCTTGGGATTCCAAGCTTGGTGGTAAGAAACCTAATATGGGACGGTCTGGTGATTCTTCTGGTGATAGGGATAAGCACTGTTGTGATTTTTGCAACCGCCCATGTCATGATAGGGAGCACTACTGGAAACTTCATGGTCATCCTCGGTTAGGGGGGCAAGGTGGTTGCCCTAGCAGTAGAGGTGCTTCTCGTGCACATCATACTATGATTCACCAGTCTACTGAGTCTGCTTCAATTGTACCTATTACGGGTGGTTCCTCCTCTGAGTCCATTGTTCTTACCAAGGATGAAGTGGAGTATGTAGATTTAAATTTTGCAATACAATGAGCTAGAGATGTCTATTCATAGTAGTACAAAGAAAGATAAGTCAAATCAGGACTTTTATAATGAGATGACTACTTATTGCGATCAGTTGGTCATTATGGAACCATCTAAGCAACAAATACTACATTGTTCTGTGCAGTATAGGGAGAAATAGAAGCTAGTATAGTTTCTTATGGCTCTTAGAGATTAGTTTTGTGAGAACCCGAATATAAAAAATAAAGTAAATAATTAAATAATAATAATTTTACAAACCTCAAATATTTTACTATGAATCTCTTAGTGCAAATTAAATATTATTGGAGGGTCTTTTAATTAATTTTAAACCTAAAATAAATTTAGAGTGGAAATCTCTAATTTAGAGGCAACATTTACTATTAAAATAAATAATAATAATAATGTT